CGGGTTCAATATAATAATTGTGAAGGAGTTCTGATTGATTCTCATATATGTGTGATGAAAAAGGTTGTTCATATATAACAGGTTCATAGTCATTTTCGACTTTTATCATATTGATGGAGAGAGTGTTTTCTGTTTCACTTTCTGAATCTGATGATTCACAGTTGATTTGATTGAGTTGTAACGTATCATTTACTGTGTCGTCAATACCTGGAGGGTCTGATGTTGTTTCTGGATTTGATTGTACTTGATTTATATTCCTTTGATGTTTAGGTGTACTGCTTCTATGGCGATTATTAGAATTATTATAATGGTTATTATTCCTATGTGGTGATTGGGAATAATTTCTATAACGATTATTATAACTTGAATGTCGATTTTGTGAATTATTTCGTGATCTGTTTTGATCACGTAATAGAGAACGAAATAATCTATTATGAACCATGCCAAAATTTTTTGTATGTCGTGTTTTGTATGTTGTGAAACTTCATCTTTCGTGAAATTTTCTTTAATTATATTTAGAAAACTAGAGAGTAGTGTGATTTCATGTCGTACTCTTATATGTTTAGATGTTTCTGTCGGTGAGACATTTGGTATCTGGATTTCGTTTTCTAATATCGAGATATAACTATATATTATCGCAAAAACTTCATTGGTGAATATGGAGTTTGCTCTTTGTGAGTTATGATATTGGATGCTTTTTATATATTCTGAGAATCTTTTAAAAATTCTAAATCAAGGTCGTCTGTTTGAATTATATATTTACTGTGATTCTGGTTTGGTGAGCTGAATTCTATGGAGTAGATTCCGTATTGTTGTGTTAGGTTACAAATATCTTTTAGATAGTGATCGATAATTTGTCTTTTGATTCTTACATCTGGGAACTCTGTTTTACATGGACTGATTCCGGGTTCAAACAAATTTAAGAGTAAATTTTTGCAAAATATATGCTGTCCTCTATCAGTGGTTGCATCTACTATAAAGGGGAAGATATCATCATCATCTGGACTTTCTTCACCTGGGGTGTGCGTTGAGCTCATTTTTTCGTTCGATGAGTGTTAATATGTAATTATCAATGTGTCTAATTGGTTGATTCCAATTGTATAAATGTACTGGTTTGTGTTTATACTGCTTTTTTATTCTTCTTTTTCCTCTTTTTGATGAATTTGAAGTTGTTTCTGAGTCAGAGAAATATAATTGATCGTGAATTGGGCAATTTTTATCTATTGCTTCTTTTAGTTTATAAAGTTCGTCTAAACTGTTGGTTTCTGATTCTGAAAATGCGTTTCGATTTTTTGAAAATCTTTTTCGTGTTATTTGTCTTTGTTTAGTTATTATTTTTCTCTTTAGTGTTTGTCGTTTTGTTCTGATATATCCAACTGTTTGTGTGTGTGGTGTGATTACAAGATCGTATTTTTTGTTATCTATTTCACAATTGTGTAAAACGATTGTTTGTTTATTTCCTAGGTTTTTAAATGACATAAGGTTTAGGATGACGGGTGCAAAAGGTTGTTAAATGATTTCTATTTGCTTAAACTGTTAGTCCTTACGATTTTTTGGTTAGCTTAACCTGGGTCTATTTGTTCAGGGTTGGAGAGAAAAGTATATCGATTCCGAAGAATGATTTTATACTTTCTCGTGGCTAGTATAAGCTAAGGTGTTAACTTACTTAATCTTACTTAAGGGTAGTGATTGTGTTCAGGGTTGGAGAATAGTAAATCGATCCACAAGGTTCAGGTATAATTAGAACGCGAGTAGTTCGTTAGATACTATTTTAAACTTACTAAGTCTAAGATTTATCCTGGGTCTGGTAAGAGGGGGGATCAAGTGAAGGATGAATAACCGAAGTTCTTCACTGTTTATCCTAATTTGAATGATTAGTTTTGTTCAAAAATTTCTATTAGTCCTGGGTTTTTAGAAAGGGTTGGATAGTGAATCGACGTTTGAGGTCGTTAGACACTAGCTAAGTGGGTGGGGGAGAACAAAGTTGTTCTTTTTGATCCAAGGATAGGCCTTGATGATCAAGTTTTAAATTTAATTAAATAGAAAATTATTTAAGATCCAAGGATAAGCCTTGATGATCTGATTTTAAAATTAAGTGAATTTAAGTTTAAATAATGATTTAAATTTGTGTAAAGAAAAGATTTAGTATTTAAGCTGGAACAACAGGATGATTTATAATTACTAACCATTTATTGTCATGCTACTAATTTTTATTTTGATTTTTCAATAAATATTTTTTAAACATGTTTTGTATATTACTGCAGAATTTAGGAAAACGATCTGAGATCTTTTTATCAATCGTTATTGTATATTAATAATTTTGTTTAGCGCCTGAAATGATTTTGAAAATTGACTTCAAAATTTTATGTTTGCAAATGAAAATCTAAATTCATTGCTAGTAGTATTCTAAATACAAAAGTTTGTGTTGGCTTTTGCCGAACTATCATATAACTATATGGTAAGTTTCTACTTTGTCGTATGTCGTCTCTGGTTCGAGGTCTTCTTCCAATTCCGGGTAGTTCTGTTATCGTTCGGAATATTGGCTCTGATCTATTGAGTCGTAGAGACATTTCGATTAAATTATCGTCGTATAACATTTTTTAAATGTTTTGTCTAAATTCTAATCTATTTTGGTTAATTCTAAGCTATTAAGGTCTTGTTCGAGACTTATGGTCGCACCAGATGAGTTATGACCGAAGGGTATAACTCATAGAGTAATTTCGGATAGGGTACACCGTCTGCTCGTCACGCTATCTTATTTTCGGCCGGATAGATTCGTGCAACTTCTTAGTCTAATACCGATCCTAATCTTACTCTTATACTATCTAGTCTCAGGTTGTTTAACTAGTCTCTGCTAGGCTCAATAGATCTAGGGTATACTGGTTTATTGCGGCTGCTGAAGTACTCGGGAGAGTTCAACTAATTTCTAAGTTAAATTCAAATCACTCTGGTGCTGAAATTACAAGTAATTTCAGCACTTACAAATAAGTGGATTGTTAGTCAGATGGATCATGATTGGTTAATATTAAATACTTTACATTGGTAAAATATCTAATTTATCCAATCATAAAATGTAGTTTAGATCAGGTTCCACTTGGCTCTGCTAACGATTGTAGTAATCTGCATCCCATTGGAGTTTTTGACGTCATCGTGTAGAAATGAGTGATGCTTCTTCTGGCATTGTTTACACTTTGACTCTGATGTGCAATTTGCAACCGTATGACCAATCCGCAAACAATTGAAGCAACATCGTGACTTGCTCACAATGTCTTTTCTTTCCCGAGTACTAGCTGCTCGAAATGTGCTGCAACTCCAAGTTGTGAGTTTCGTTGCAACCAGGCGTTGGACAGACATGTTTTGTTTGCTTCTCAGATACGTCAATCTGCTTGGCGTCTTGGTGCTTTGCCGTTTTTTGTTCTAGTGAACAAGTTGAGGATTCAATGGATTGTATCCTTGCACCAAGAAATTCCAACAAGTCTGTGTACTTGAGGCAATTGGAGCCCTTTTGTTCCATTGCCCAAGCTTTCTGGCTCTCAGGATCCACTTTTGACAAGAGAGCGTAGAACCATGCATCGTTTTCTACTTTCCTACCGATGGCTTTTATTGACTGACTTACTTCATTGAAAGTCGAATGGAGTGTCTGAGTTGGTATGCATTTTCTGTCTGAATTGCTCTGAATTCGAAAATTTGTTGGAGGAGTGATCTGAGAATGATTCTTTCATCCTTGTATCTTTCTGCTAGGAGTGATCAAGCGATATAGTAATTGTTACTAGTAGTCGCTAAATTCTTGATGAGCTTTTCGGCATCTCCCTTTAAGCAACTTTTCAAATATACAAGCTTCTGTACATCAAGAGAGTTTTTCGTTTGAATGGACACCGGTCTCGAATTAGTCTTCAAAGGAGACCCACTCTTTGTATTCCCCTGAGAATGTAGGCAAATTCAATTGTGGCAGTTTGTTTGTAGTGTTGGCCCTGGTGTTTTCTGGTATTGCATCTGCGCGGATTTGTGGTGAGGATATTCGATTGATTCTTTGTTGAATTGCGAATATTCTTCCTCTTGCTTGTTTCTGTATCTCATACACTTCTTTATATTTCGTGTCTTATTCGTCTTCATTGTTGATACCGTCTAGCACAGCATCATCAACAGTCGTCAGTCTTTGCAGTTCCATCTGTAGTTTTGCCAATATTTTCTGAAGAGTAACAGTATTTGTACCTGTTACTTCTTGTTCTGCTTGATTCTCTGGTCTCACTAGATTTCTACGGAGGGCATGTTGCTTCCTCTCTAATTGTTTGTGGCTTAGACTCATTGTAGTCTCCGGTTCAGCGGACCAAAATGTAGCTTCGTGATAGCTCAAAGTGAAGAATGTTTATCAAAACAAACTGAATTACGACAACAAGGTTGCCACGGGTTTCTGAAACTGTGAGTCCAGGTGCTTCTCCAGGGGCACAGGGTAGCCACGGGCCCTGAAACCTCTGTGGCCAGGTGCAAAATTAGGAGAAATGGAGAAATCGATGAAAACTCATGTACAGGGTGGCCACAGTTCCGAAATGTCATTTTTCCAGATCCTCCAGGTCATTTCTTAACATTACTTCAGGTCACAAAACAATTTTTGTTCACTCATGACCTCCGCATTTTTTTTCGCAACTGAACGAGCTACCCCCCGCCCCAAATTTTGGAAATTTCCAGTTTTTTTCATTAAATGAACTAAATTAGCAATTTCTTTTATTGCTTGTACCAATTCTCAGGTCTAACTACCCTTGTTTCGACCTCTTGAGAAAAAAGTTTGAAAAATTAGATTTTTCTCCAGGTCGTCCAGGTCATCTCTAGGTCGAAAAATTCTCCAGGTCATCTCTAGGTCAACGTGGCAGCCCTGCACAATGACATTCCTGGGATGCTCCAAGAATTCTACAAATGTGGGAGAATGTGAAATTCAACAAAAAAGGGTGTGTTTGGGTGGGGGGAGTTGAGACATAATATATTATGTACAATGACATTCCTGGGTTGCGCTCCGGAGCATTCGATTGCTTTATCCGCTTTGTGTCCACCCAACATAATCCGGATCTGTTCAACTGCTCCTTCATTGGTCAATCCACGAACATTGATCACGTGAGTAGCTCCTGTTCGAAACGAAGACATGCAATCAACTTTGAATTTTCACTCAGAGGTAACAAAAACTGTCATATCCGTTTAGATTTTAGTTTTTTTAGTATTACAAACAGGGCAGGTTCCAATCCGCTAGGCGTTGTGCAGTTCACGGAGAAAAACTCTATTACGAGTAGGAAAATTAATAGAAAAGTAGCGTTTTTTTCAAAATTTCCCCAGAAATGTTTTTATTCAATTCATCACGACTTTTGAGGGAGAATTGTGAAAAAACGTACCCATGGTCAAAAAATTTACCGTTTAACCAGCCCTGATTTGATTTTCTGATAAATTGAACATATCTTGTTGTTTCACGTTTTTATCATTGTACTTTTTTTAAAGCACTAATGTCTCACCGCATTGTTTGGCCATTTCGAGTCGTTTGTCGTCAATATCTGTACATACGATGTCAGTGGCGCCACTAGCGGAAGCCACCATCGCGTTCACAAGTCCAATCGGTCCCGCACCACACACTAACACTCTGCAGGCACGGTTTCCAGAGCAAAATCCAAATAAATTGTATATCCTCAAAAATTCCGCAAAAAAATATCCTTTTTTCGAATTTTTCTATTTGTTACTGACGTTTTTCGGTTGAAGTTTTACGCTTTTCTCCAATAATATGTTATAAATTTTTCCTAAATTATCGGAGCCATGCCTGTCTCCCGCAGTGATATGAGCTCTTCGGCACGCGTGAACTGCCACAGCTAACGGTTCTAGCAAAGCGCCTTCTTCAAGACTGACAGAATCCGGGAGTTTGTAGCAGAAAGAAGCTGCATGGCAGTGAAAACGACGGAGGGACCCGTGGATGGGGGGTGTAGCCAGGAAAGCAACGTCCGGACACAAGTTGTACGTCCCTGGGGGAAGGGAGAGTGGCTACGATTGATTTTTTGCATACACAAAGGAAAATATTATTCATTCGTCTCTATGAGGGAAACCACGCGTTTACATTTGTGAAAGCAAGTTTTTGAAAAGTTTCAAGACGCATTTGAAACAATTCGGTTCATCACGAGAAAAAAAAGCTCTAATTTTAGAAAACTCATAGCTCTCATGGGCTTCAAAAAAACCCTAAAATCTGAAAATCTCAACAAGTTTTAACAGAAATTTTAAAGCAAAAAAAATGAGAGACGGGCGAGATTCGAACCTACGCTAATGAAAGCCACTCTACCAGCTTTGCAGAAGCTACAGTGTGCGCAGGGAACTCCGGGTTCAATCGCCACTTTGTCACCCACAGAGAGATTAGTCACACCCTCTCCTAGTTTAGTCACAGTCCCTGATGACTCATGACCTGGTCACGTGAGCAGAATGGATGAAAATTTAAAACCAGAAAAAACCTAGCGTTTCAAATTGCAGAGTAAACGGTATAATTTTAGGGAAAAATTCATAATTTTTAGAATAATCGAGCAAAACTATGTCATCAAGGAATATATTCCCAAACCCATACCACTTTTTGAACACTGTGCTGGCAGCCCATAACCAAATGTGTGTTGTAAGTAATACCTGTTCCTGCTTTTATTAGTCAAAAATGCGTGTTAAAAAAACCTAACAAAGAAAAATCAGAAACAAATTGAACAGGTATTTAAACTATTTTCACATACGCAAAAATATTTTATGTGTTTTAATGGAGATTTTTTTGGGTTCCAATTCAGCGATATACCTAATTAATTAAGAAAATAGATACAGAGTTTTGTCCCAGTTGACTCGTGTTTGATAAAAAAACATTTTTTCAAAGTTTAATACTACGTATTTTGAAGAAAATGTTATGTTATGCTTGTTACGTGTAACTCATTACGTTTTACAAAAATAGCTTAATCGGTTTGACTCAGGGTGGCCACTTGGCTGAGAAAAAAAAGATAACTTCTGAGTATCCGCAAAAAGATGCCAAAAAGTAACTTAAAATAATTTTGCTTTGTAAAAAGACACTTTTAGACAGCGGTAAAAAAGCTCAAAAAACAAATGATTCCTCAATTTTTTCGCAGCTCGATCAACAAGGGAAACATCAACTGAATCACGGTCAGCTTCAAGCACATACTTTTTTCCATGAGCTTTATCAATTCTTTTGTCTTTTTCAGCTCATCGTTACAAAAAATGTCACAAGTAAAGACTTTAAAATGGAAACTCAGAAATATAATTTGAATCTTCACGCTCGGGTCAAACTTGACACTAGGTGTGATCGCATTGCATCAACTTTCTGACAAAAGCAAAGAAAAAGATGACCAATCGACGAAATTGAAGCGCAAATTTGACAAATATCAGCAAAATCCCATGATTTTCCATGAGATTCCAAAAACATTTTCCAATTTGATTACTTTCAGCAAATGCCATGAGCCCTGGTTGGAATTTGATGCAAAAAACTAGATAATTAATTTATCAAATGATTAAAAATTCATCCATCCTGCCGAGGATCATAGGTTCAGGGACTACATATGTATCACCGATGCGCATATGTTGCCAATAATGGACATCCGATCCGCAAATACCCACAGAATGCATTCGCATCTGGACTTGACCCGGCAACGGTTGCGGTACAGGAGTGTCTTCCAGGGCTATTGTTTTGGCGCATTTCAGAACTGCTGACAAGTTGTCGGAAGAACCCATGACTACTGGAACGATGATGACTCAAATATGAGACATGGTGGCCACGATGCCGGAACAGACAAAACATATACATACATATATATATATGCAACAATTTATTGTACAATTTTGGATTGTGTTGTAAAAATGAACTTTTTCAAGTTCAAAACAACTTTGATGGCATCTTCTTTTACTTCTGATTCGTCATCAATGGGACCATCGCCCTGCTGTTTTCTACCCTTTTTCGTAGGATAAGCAACTTTTATCTTTTCCGAAACACCGCCTTTGATTTGAACTTTAACTTTACCACCTTGCCCAAATGTCCCGATTATAACACCCTCATCGCCAGTAGAAAAAACCACTTTTAAATGTATAAACTTCTCGATGCTACTTTCTTTCTTGAGCAAGTGTTTACATATAACCACATCATCCGAAAATATCCGCTCAATTCGACCTTCTTTCGATTTTTTCTTGAAAACTTTGAGGTTTGGTAAAACTGATGTAGCATAATTTTCTTCGTGTAGTGAAAACACAGGAGACCCATAGAAGGCTAATCGGCAATTCTTGAAGTGAACATCGGAGTCAAGTTTGGAGATGAAAACTTGAAAACTTGAAAACTCAATGAAAATAACTTGGGGGGGTTACTAAAACAGGTCTCTCGAATTGAATCGAAGCAAAAACAGTTTGCTCCTCATTAGGGGTGGGCTCATCGGTATTGGAGAGAAACTCGAATTGGCTATCGGGAGAAAAAGATTGTTCTGAGCTTGAAAAAAGAGTGATTTTTCCCATTACAACTTCGTATCCAGCTACTATGTGAAACTTCTGATTAGATGATATGTCACTTTTATAGAACCGGACTTTTTTCAAGGCAATTATACAAGCATGTAAAGACTTTAATACCCCCGGGAATGAAACTATGCCTCTCTCTAGCAAAGACGAATCGAATTGTGTCACACATAAACCAGCCCTGTCGCCGCGTCTGATAGAATTCACTGGCTTCTTGAAAACTTGTATGGACTTAATTTTTTTCTCCAGAGAAATGTTAGCAATCTCGACTTTGTCGTTAATAGATACTTCGCCAGCGAGGCATGTTCCGGTTAAAACCGTGCCCTGACCTAAACAATGACACCCAGACTTGTGAAAAAACTCGTACATTTTTCCTACTTAAGTCTTCAACATAGTTCTCAATCATTAGTCATTGACTAACTGAAAACCGGGCGAGAAACAGAAAAAACACTGATCAGCAGGAATGTTTTATTATCTGATTTTTTCCTTAGAATCAAATCGATCGGATTTTATTTCATTTTGTGACACGATACCTTTAATTTTTTCCCCCGAATTGTTAAATAGAATAGTCAGGTCTAAAAACCAGGAAAAAAAATCACGAATAAATGGTGAAATTTTGGGGAAACAAGCTAGATTGTTGGTTCCATTACATAAATTTATTGTTCACATACTGCGTCTGACATCAAGATACATTCATTTGGAACTACGAAATCGTTTTTTCTCCACATTTGGGCGAAACGCTTAAATTATAAGACAAAATTGATGAAAATCGCGATTATAATTCAATAAAATCCGATTAAAATCTAAAATCATGATTGATCAGTGATAAAAATCACTTGATCAAAATCGCCCATTCCTGTTGATCAGTGAATGCATTCGAAGGCGCACAGATTCACCTTTTATCTGAAAGCAATGGTCGACAGCAAAAAGAAAGTCTTGTTTTTCACTTTTCTGGCGACTGCATTTGATCTGCGACAACTGATTACTTATGCACATCTGTAGCTTCTCTTTCATTATCACCAAGCTATCGTTGTCTTTTTCGGTGTTGCATGATAAAGGAACCATTGTGACGTTCGTCCCCAGCGAAGTTTCTTTGAAGGTCAAAGCCAACTTTTTGAGAACTTTTTCGAGTCTAAAAAAAACAAGTGGTAACATTGTTATACACGATTATCAGGGTGGCCACGGGTTGGAGATTTTTATAATCCAATTCATTTTCCAAGTCAAAAAATTTCAAAATTCAAGTGTCTATGGAGCTGGGGAGCAGAAATTTTCCCAAAATTTCAAGGTTTTGTCAATGCGTTTTTTTCTCATTTTCCTATGTTTTTACTGCGAGGTTCGTCGACATTTTTACAATTTCAGTCAGCAACTGTACCAGCCATACCAGGTTGGCCACGTTATCAGAAATTCAAACTAGAGGCCCAGCTAAAGCAGGGAGGGTCCTGTTTGATTTTGTTTTCAAATGTTATACTCCAGAAACATTCTGTTGGTTTTCAATATTTTTTTCGTCAAAAAGCACATTTCGATGATTTTTCGATGTCATTTCCTATCGCTATAAGCAACCCAAGCCCTGCGGTTTCCCCCATTCACATTGTTGATACTGATTCTTTGCAGCTTTATATCCAAATCCAATGGGTACTTTTTGAGAAATATTCAATAAAGCACTTATTCGGTCGAAAAAGCACTTTTCGATGATTTTTCGATGTCATTTTCCATCGCTATAAGCAACCCAAGCCCTGCGGTTTCCTCTATTTATATTGTTGATACTGGTTCTTTGCAGCTTTATATCCAAATCCAATGGGTACTTTTTAAGAAATATTCAATATAATAAATATTCAGTCGAAAAAGCACTTTTTCATAATTTTCCGAACTCATTTCCCACCGCTGCAAGCAAACCAAAACCATGCGGTTATGTTTAAATTCATTGTTGGTACTTGTTCTCTCATTTGGCAGCTTTTCAGGAAAATCCGGATGGTACTTTTTGTGAAAAGTTCGAAAAACCACTTGTTTGATCGGAAAAGAACTTTTTCATGATATTTCAAAGTCATTTCCCCACCGCTACAAGCTTCGGAAAGACTAGCGCTTAGCGTCAGAAAGACCGTAGGTGGCCAGGCTTCCATTTAAAACCAGTTTGAAAAAAAGCCAGGGTAGTTTTTAGGGTATGTAAAAAAAGGCTGAAAGCGTCTCAAAAAAAACAAAAAAAACACTTTTTCATAAGACCTGTTTAATAAATCAAACAGGAATTAGCATGACAGCCATGACATTTCTCAACCGTTCGCCATGCCAAAATCGTGAAATGAACAAGAAACCACGCACAAATGAGGGTAGGTAGCGAGGTTAATTTTTTTTCTCAATGTATCACAAATTTTGGTTTTGGCGAAAAACCGACTTTCATTATTCACAGAGTCCTTGTAATGAAATACTCTTTTTACTTCTTTAAACGACAGTAACAGTTTGGCCATTTGTAAAAAAACGAAATGACATGTCTCGTAGGTCATGATTTTGGCCATGACAGCGTGGCCACCCTGCATACGATCTCATCTCAGAAAAGAACTACCTTACGAACTTTTAACTTTCATGTCACTCCATGTTACCGTGGGCCACCCTGATCATGCAACAGATTTACTTGACTTGGTCTGGGAAAAGGTCAGTTTTGTTAACTGCTACAATGACGGGTAAGCTTTCTTTGCTTTGCTTCAGAATTTCGGCAATAACGATACACTCAGCAGTTTGAGTTTGAATACCCTTACAGGGTTTATACGGTTGTTAAAGTCACGAATTTAATGACAAACCGGAGATGACATTTTTTTGAGGGTGAAAGAGGATATCAAGTAAACGAACAAGCGACCGTGGGGGGGGGGTTCGTTATTCACGAGTTGGAGAAAGACAAAAATGTATCGGAAAATTCAAAAATTCGAAATCCGATTTTTACAAAAGTAAGAAAATATGTCATTATCATTCATCGCTCTCTGAAACTTTCAGGCTGGGGAAACTTTATCCACAATTTTATGACATTTCAGGTTTTTTATGACGCGTATAAACCCTGCCTTAGAGCATCGATTACGAGGATCATCATATCAATGATATTTGCTCCTCCAATGATCGTCCGGATGAGGGACGCATGGCCCGGACAATCTACCAGAGTCACTTGCACCTGGGAAGCAACATCTTAAAGTCACAAACGCAAACTTTGATAGTCCTTCAGGGTTTATACGGTTGGTAGTGACAAATTTCATGACATTTCGTGACAAATCGGAAATGATTCTTCATGACGAAATAAAAAAAATCATAAAATTTTCAAGTTTTTCATGACGCGTCTAAACACTGTCTGTCCTTTACCATCAGAACTTACCGTTTCATCTCCTAAGTCCATCTCAAAAGCAGAAAATCCCAAATCCAACGTAATGCCTCTTTCTTGGCTCTGCGGATTTTTGTCGAAACAAGCGGTGGAGGCAGTTGTGCTCAACAGTTTGCACAGGGATGTCTTTCCTGCATCGACATGACCCAGAACACCGATGTTCACGTTGATCATACTTGTCTGAAGGAAAACTCAATCAGAGGTAGTATCCGAGAGGATAACATGGACAGACCTCGTAGCGGATTTTTGGGGAAAATCAGGACAACGTTTTTTTTTAATCAGGACAAAATCGGTATATTTCCACTGAAAATCACGAGAAATAAGGCCACTCAGTCGGTAAATCGGAAACTGAACTTGCGCAAACACGTGAAATACTCATGATAGTTTTTTTTTGGGAAGGAAACCTCTAATTGGAAAAAAACCTTCCAGAGGCGTACAAATTACATGCAAATATATTTGCTACTGCAAGATCAGTAAAGTCACAACTTTTGACTCACAAGGCAGTGTCGAAAGGCAGTAAACATCAAAAAAGAATAACAAAAGAAGAAAAGTTTTCATAAAGAACCCTCATAGCTCTTTTAACAATATCTTCTTAGGCGTAGTCACCTCTCACAGGGTGGCCACACTTTAAAAATGTCATCTAACCAGGTCCTGTAGGACAAAAAAATGTCCAGGTCAGCGTCTCACTTCAAAAAACATATATTCTGTAATTCGTTCGATATATGTTTTTGCTTAAACTGTTCTACATACAGTAGAGGGTGAATATAAATAACGGACTCGCAAATTAAGCCGAATTAGTCGGCAATAGAAAGTTTCTATTAGAAGGTTCTATAAAGGTTCTATTAGAACCCGTCCGGTATAAACACGCGCTTAAACATGGTTAATATAGGATATGCGGTCGAGCGGGAAAAATGATAAGGTATGCTATAAACTACAGTATAAAGCGGATATAACGAAACTCCGAGTCCTTTGAGTCAAGGGGCCCGAAAAACTTTCGTCATATCCGCTTTCGTTATACCCACACTCCACTGTACAGCGAAACTTTTACACAACGTAAAGCGTGTAAAACGAAAGTTTTTTCGTGTAACCTGGGTTTCGTTAGATACGCTTCCTACTGTTTTTGAAAGGTCGTTGCACAACTGACAAAGGAATTTTGTTAAATGTTACATGTACATTACAATGCATTACATGTAATGCATTTTAATAGCTCTTATACCCAAAAATAGACAAACAGAAAAATTGAATGAGGGAAAAATCAATTATGCGACAGAGGAAGCATTAGAACTGATTTTAGGCCACAGGTCAGCGCACTCCTTGGCAACCGGTCCAGTGATGGCAGATCCTTTCATCTCTCCCTTTACATTGACAATGACTCCAGCGTTGTCCTCGAAGTAGATGAACACACCGTCCTTGCGTCTGTAGGGCTTCCTCTGTCTGATCACAACTGCCGGCATGACTTTCTTCCTCAGTTCTGGCTTGCCTTTCTTCACCGTGGCCATCACCATGTCACCGCATCCAGCGGCTGGCAACCTATAGAGGTTCAAAAAAAGACAAAATTAAGGCGTGAGATAGCAAAGAAATCTCTTGAAATCTCGTAAATTTAAGCGTAGACCTTTACTTACTCAGCACAATTAAAGTGAAGGGTGGATAAAACGAACCCAAAATTTGTTCTGAATTTGTGCGTTGATTAATAAACTCGTATTTTTTTTATAAAAACGAGCTGGAACATGGAACAATTGATGAGAATGTAGAAGTGGTACTTTCGGCTCGTTTTACGAGTCAGTTCGTTATAAACAAAACCGTTATATCCACCCTCTACTGTATTTCTTCCAGCACTTATGACACATACCTAGCACGCTCTCGCCATACCTGTTAAGTCTTCCAGTGACTCGCTTCACAGAGATGATGTACAAGTTCTTCGCACCGGTGTTGTCCGCACAGTTGATGACTGCTCCTACCGGGAGACCGAGAGAGATCCTGAACTTACAACCTCCACCTCCCTTTCCTCGTCGCGACATACTCTGAAAAAAACAGTAAAATGAAACGTAATTTTAAAAAAACAACCAATTGGCCGTAGTTTATTCGTTGCAATAACCCGATGCGCAAAATATAAGAAATCAGTCTCACACACAACTTTAAAACTGCCGCACTCGGGTCAGAACTTGGGATTTAGTGTCAGGAAAACTATAACCCAGCAATTTATATAAATCATGTACATGTATTTACTGTTTCGAGCCTGAGTTTTGAGAGAACGTTATGTTCAAAGCTTGTCGAGAACAAGATCAGAAAACTGATTGATCAGATAGTGTTCAATACGAGCTCACAAACCAAACCCGGACCTAATATGCACGAGATTATCGAACTGGATAGAAGCAAACTGGAACAACGCGTAAAATACGATACTTACATGATGAAAGAGTCAGTTATGGTATGTTCACACTAGGATTACCATTGCCTCGGGTTCGGTGTGAGACTAATTATGAATGAGCCTAGTTGAGTCTACTGAAAGAGTCAACTGGTGGACACACAGCTGCAATTTCAGAACAGCTCAGACTTTGTAGATTTGCAAATTCGTTTTAACAAAACTACATGGTCACGAGAAAAGTTCGGAAAATAATAACAGCATATGCATATAACAGTCGACTGCAAAATGTGAATATTGAGTTTCTGGAAGGCACGGTGTTTCAGCAATTGGTTATTCATGTTCATGTTTGAAACAATGTTTACGCATATGGCGTGCACCCATAAAAATGTGAAAAACTCAGAAAAACTTCGTGTGGAGTCCCGACGTGATTCGGCGAACGAGTAACATGAGCTCAGGCGACTAGTTGTGTTTTCCGTGTCTTTATAGGGACGGTTCTCCTACCCAGTGAAGCAATCAAAAAGCATGCAGATCACTCAGTAACCCCGGATTCCGCATCCTATTGACCAGGAAGCTCACTTGATGTTGCGCTAAAACAGAAACTCGTTTCAGTTCGCGGTAGGATACACTAGTTGCTGAGTTTACGCAAAAATTCACTATAGTCAAGCTGTTCAAGAAGCGGTTTTGTGATTGCGTCACTGCTACTATGATAACGCATGTGTCTTCCGGCAGCACTTTTGTCCCTTGCATGGTTACCTCTGGGGATCGCCTCTCATCGACTGGTCTACTCAACGTAGACCAAACTTAGACTGCAATTCACTTCGCACCGCCCCAAAACCTTGAGCTGACAAGTAAAAAGGCCCAAACCATAACCCGTCCTCACTTCACAAGAAGTAGTGATCAAATTTCATGTACTTGGCCGGGATCAAGTGGAGACTGACGTTTTTCGGTTGAAGTTTTACGCTTTTCTCCAATAATATGTTATATATTTTTCCTAAATTATCGGAGCCGTGCCTGTCTCCCGCAGTGATATGAGCTCTTCGGCACGCGTGAACTGCCACAGCTAACGGTTCTAGCAAAGCGCCTTCTTCAAGACTGACAGAATCCGGGAGTTTGTAGCAGAAAGAAGCTGCATGGCAGTGAAAACGACGGAGGGACCCGTGGATGGGGGTGTAGCCAGGAAAGCAACGTCCGGACACAAGTTGTACGTCCCTGGGGGAAGGGAGAGTGGCTACGATTGATTTTTTGCATACACAAAGGAAAATATTATTCACTCGTCTCTATGAGGGAAACCACGCGTTTACATTTGTGAAAGCAAGTTTTTGAAAAGTTTCAAGACGCATTTGAAACAATTCGGTTCATCACGAGAAAAAAAAATTCTAATTTTAGAAAACTCATAGCTCTCATGGGCTTCAACAAAACCCTAAAATCTGAAAATCTCACAAGTTTTAACAGAAATTTTAAAGCAAAAAAAATGAGAGACCGGCGAGATTCGAAACTACGCTAATGAAAGCCACTCTACCAGCTTTGCAGAAGCTACAGTGTGCGCAGGGAACTCCGGGTTCAATCGCCACTTTGTCACCCACAGAGAGATTAGTCACACCCTCTCCTAGTTTAGTCACAGTCCCTGATGACTCATGACCTGGTCACGTGAGCAGAATGGATGAAAATTTAAAACCAGAAAAAACCTAGCGTTTCAAATTGCAGAGTAAACGGTATAATTTTAGGGAAAAATTCATAATTTTTAGAATAATCGAGCAAAACTATGTCATCAAGGAATATATTCCCAAACCCATACCACTTTTTGAACACTGTGCTGGCAGCCCATAACCAAATGTGTGTTGTAAGTAATACCTGTTCCTGCTTTTATTAGTCAAAAATGCGTGTTAAAAAAACCTAACAAAGAAAAATCAGAAACAAATTGAACAGGTATTTAAACTATTTTCACATACGCAAAAATATTTTATGTGTTTTAATGGAGATTTTTTTGGGTTCCAATTCAGCGATATACCTAATTAATTAAGAAAATAGATACAGAGTTTTGTCCCAGTTGACTCGTGTTTGATAAAAAAACATTTTTTCAAAGTTTAATACTACGTATTTTGAAGAAAATGTTATGTTATGCTTGTTACGTGTAACTCATTACGTTTTACAAAAATAGCTTAATCGGTTTGACTCAGGGTGGCCACTTGGCTGAGAAAAAAAAGATAACTTCTGAGTATCCGCAAAAAGATGCCAAAAAGTAACTTAAAATAATTTTGCTTTGTAAAAAGACACTTTTAGACAGCGGTAAAAAAGCTCAAAAAACAAATGATTCCTCAATTTTTTCGCAGCTCGATCAACAAAGGAAACATCAACTGAATCACGGTCAGCTTCAAGCACATACTTTTTTCCATGAGCTTTATCAATTCTTTTGTCTTTTTCAGCTCATCGTTACAAAAAATGTCACAAGTAAAGACTTTAAAATGGAAACTCAGAAATATAATTTGAATTTTCACGCTCGGGTCAAACTTGACACTAGGTGCATCAATTTTCTGACAAAAGCAAAGAAAAAGATGACCAATCGACGAAATTGAAGCGCAAATTTGACAAATATCAGCAAAATCCCATGATTTTCCATGAGATTGCAAAAACATTTTCCAATTTGATTACTTTCAACAAATGCCATGAGCCCTGGTTGGGATTTGATGCAAAAAAGTAGATAATTAATTTATCAAATGATTAAAAATTCATCCATCCTGCCGAGGATCATAGGTTCAGGGACTACATATGTATCACCGATGCGCATATGTTGCCAATAATGGACATCCGATCCGCAAATACCCACAGAATACATTCGGATCTGAACTTGATCTGGTGTTTTGGCGGATTTCAGAACTGCTGACAAGTTGTCGGAACAACCCATCACTACTGAAACGATGATGACTCAAATATGAGACATGGTGGCCACGATGCCGGAACAGACAAAACATATACATACATATATATATATGCAACAATTTATTGTACAATTTTGGATTGTGTTGTAAAAATGAACTTTTTCAAGTTCAAAACAACTTTGATGGCATCTTCTTTTACTTCTGATTCGTCATCAATGGGACCATCGCCCTGCTGTTTTCTACCCTTTTTCGTAGGATAAGCAACTTTTATCTTTTCCGAAACACCGCCTTTGATTTGAACTTTAACTTTACCACCTTGCCCAAATGTCCCGATTATAACACCCTCATGGCCAGTAGAAAAAACCACTTTTAAATGTATAAACTTCTCGATGCTACTTTCTTTCTTGAGCAAGTGTTTACATATAACCACATCATCCGAAAATATCCGCTCAATTCGACCTTCTTTCGATTTTTTCTTGAAAACTTTTAGGTTTGGTAAAACTGATGTAGCATAATTTTCTTCGTGTAGTGAAAACACAGGAGACCCATAGAAGGCTAATCGGCAATTCTTGAAGTGAACATCGGAGTCAAGTTTGGAGCCAATGAAAATAACTTGGGGGGTTACTAAAACAGGTCTCTCGAATTGAATCGAAGCAAAAACAGTTTGCTCCTCATTAGGGGTGGGCTCATCGGTATTGGAGAGAAACTCGAATGGGCTATCGGGAGAAAAAGATTGTTCTGAGCTTGAAAAAAGAGTGATTTTTCCCATTACAACTTCGTATCCAGCTACTATGTGAAACTTCTGATTAGATGATATGTCACTTTTATAGAACCGGACTTTTTTCAAGGCAATTATACAAGCATGTAAAGACTTTAATACCCCCGGGAATGAAACTATGCCTCTCTCTAGCAAAGACGAATCGAATTGTGTCACACATAAACCAGCCCTGTCGCCGCGTCTGATAGAATTCACTGGCTTCTTGAAAACTTGTATGGACTTAATTTTTTTCTCCAGAGAAATGTTAGCAATCTCGACTTTGTCGTTAATAGATACTTCGCCAGCGAGGCATGTTCCGGTTAAAACCGTGCCCTGACCTAAACAATGACACCCAGACTTGTGAAAAAACTCGTACATTTTTCCTACTTAAGTCTTCAACATAGTTCTCAATCATTAGTCATTGACTAACTGAAAACCGGGCGAGAAACAGAAAAAACACTGATCAGCAGGAATGTTTTATTATCTGATTTTTTCCTTAGAATCAAATCGATCGGATTTTATTTCATTTTGTGACACGATACCTTTAATTTTTTCCCCCGAATTGTTAAATAGAATAGTCAGGTCTAAAAACCAGGAAAAAAAATCACGAATAAATGGTGAAATTTTGGGGAAACAAGCTAGATTGTTGGTTCCATTACATAAATTTATTGTTCACATACTGCGTCTGACATCAAGATACATTCATTTGGAACTACGAAATCGTTTTTTCTCCACATTTGGGCGAAACGCTTAAATTATAAGACAAAATTGATGAAAATCGCGATTATAATTCAATAAAATCCGATTAAAATCTGAAATCATGATTGATCAGTGATAAAAATCACTTGATCAAAATCGCCCATTCCTGTTGATCAGTGAATGCATTCGAAGGCGCACAGATTCACCTTTTATCTGAAAGCAATGGTCGACAGCAAAAAGAAAGTCTTGTTTTTCACTTTTCTGGCGACTGCATTTGATCTGCGACAACTGATTACTTATGCACATCTGTAGCTTCTCTTTCATTATCACCAGGCTATCGTTGTCTTTTTCGGTGTTGCATGATAAAGGAACCATTGTGACGTTCGTCCCCAGCGAAGTTTCTTTGAAGGTCAAAGCCAACTTTTTGAGAACTTTTTCGAGTCTAAAAAAAACAAGTGGTAACATTGTTATACACGATTATCAGGGTGGCCACGGGTTGGAGATTTTTATAATCCAATTCATTTTCCAAGTCAAAAAATTTCAAAATTCAAGTGTCTATGGAGCTGGGGAGCAGAAATTTTCCCAAAATTTCAAGGTTTTGTCAATGCGTTTTTTTCTCATTTTCCTATGTTTTTACTGCGAGGTTCGTCGACTTTTTTACAATTTCAATCAGCAACTGTACCAGCCATACCAGGTTGGCCACGTTATCAGAAATTCAAACTAGAGGCCCAGCTAAAGCAGGGAGGGTCCTGTTTGATTTTGTTTTCAAATGTTATACTCCAGAAACATTCTGTTGGTTTTCAATATTTTTTTCGTCAAAAAGCACATTTCGATGATTTTTCGATGTCATTTCCTATCGCTATAAGCAACCCAAGCCCTGCGGTTTCCCCCATTCACATTGTTGATACTGATTCTTTGCAGCTTTATATCCAAATCCAATGGGTACTTTTTGAGAAATATTCAATAAAGCACTTATTCTGTCGAAAAAGCACTTTTCGATGATTTTTCGATGTCATTTTCCATCGCTATAAGCAACCCAAGCCCTGCGGTTTCCTCTTTTTATATTGTTGATACTGGTTCTTTGCAGCTTTATATCCAAATCCAATGGGTACTTTTTAAGAAATATTCAATATAATAAATATTCAGTCGAAAAAGCACTTTTTCATAATTTTCCGAACTCATTTCCCACCGCTACAAGCTTCGGAAAGACTAGCGCTTAACGTCAGAAAGACCGTAGGTGGCCAGGCTTCCATTTAAGACCAGTTTGAAAAAAAAAGCCAGGGTAGTTTTTCGGGTATGTAAAAAAAGGCTGAAAGCGTCTCAAAAAAAACAAAAAAAAACACTTTTTCATAAGACCTGTTTAATAAATCAAACAGGAATTAGCATGACAGCCATGACATTTCTCAACCGTTGGCCATGCCAAAATCGTGAAATGAACAAGAAACCACGCACAAATGAGGGTAGGTAGCGAGGTTTATTTTTTTTCTCAATGGATCACAAATTTTGGTTTTGGCGAAAAACCGACTTTCATTATTCACAGAGTCCTTGTAATGAAATACTCTTTTTACTTCTTTAAACGACAGTAACAGTTTGGCCATTTGTAAAAAAACGAAATGACATGTCTCGTAGGTCATGATTTTGGCCATGACAGCGTGGCCACCCTGCATACGATCTCATCTCAGAAAAGAACTACCTTACGAACTTTTAACTTTCATGTCACTCCATGTTACCGTGGGCCACCCTGATCATGCAACAGATTTACTTGTCTTGGTCTGGGAAAAGGTCAGTTTTGTTAACTGCTACAATGACGGGTAAGCTTTCTTTGCTTTGCTTCAGAATTTCGGCAATAACGATACACTCAGCAGTTTGAGTTTGAATACCCTTACAGGGTTTATACGGTTGTTAAAGTCACGAATTTAATGACAAACCGGAGATGACATTTTTTTGAGGGTGAATGAGGATATCAAGTAAACGAACAAGCGACCGTGGGGGGGTTCGTTATTCACGAGTTGGAGAAAGACAAAAATGTATCGGAAAATTCAAAAATTCGAAATCCGATTTTTACAAAAGTAAGAAAATATGTCATTATCATTCATCGCTCTCTGAAACTTTCAGGCTGGGGAAACTTTATCCACAATTTTATGACATTTCAGGTTTTTTATGACGCGTATAAACCCTGCCTTAGTAGCATCGACTACGAGGATCATCATATCAATGATATTTGCTCCTCCAATGATCGTCCGGATGAGGGACGCATGGCCCGGACAATCTACCAGAGTCACTTGCACCTGGGAAGCAACATCTTAAAGTCACAAACGCAAACTTTGATAGTCCTTCAGGGTTTATACGGTTGGTAGTGACAAATTTCATGACATTTCGTGACAAATCGGAAATGATTCTTCATGACGAAATAAAAAAAATCATAAAATTTTCAAGTTTTTCATGACGCGTCTAAACACTGTCTGTCCTTTACCATCAGAACTTACCGTTTCATCTCCTAAGTCCATCTCAAAAGCAGAAAATCCCAAATCCAACGTAATGCCTCTTTCTTGGCTCTGCGGATTTTTGTCGAAACAAGCGGTGGAGGCAGTTGTGCTCAACAGTTTGCACAGGGATGTCTTTCCTGCATCGACATGACCCAGAACACCGATGTTCACGTTGATCATACTTGTCTGAAGGAAAACTCAATCAGGGGTAGTATCCGAGAGGATAACATGGACAGACCTCGTAGCGGATTTTTGGGGAAAATCAGGACAACGTTTTTTTTAATCAGGACAAAATCGGTATATTTCCACTGAAAATCACGAGAAATAAGGCCACTCAGTCGGTAAATCGGAAACTGAACTTGCGCAAACACGTGAAATACTCATGATAGTTTTTTTTTGGGAAGGAAACCTCTAATTGGAAAAAACCTTCCAGAGGCGTACAAATTACATGCAAATATATTTGCTACTGCAAGATCAGTAAAGTCACAACTTTTGACTCACAAGGCAGTGTCGAAAGGCAGTAAACATCAAAAAAGAATAACAAAAGAAGAAAAGTTTTCATAAAGAACCCTCATAGCTCTTTTAACAATATCTTCTTAGGCGTAGTCACCTCTCACAGGGTGGCCACACTTTAAAAATGTCATCTAACCAGGTCCTGTTGGACAAAAAAATGTCCAGGTCAGCGTCTCACTTCAAAAAACATATATTCTGTAATTCGTTCGATATATGTTTTTGCTTAAACTGTTCTACATACAGTAGAGGGTGAATATAAATAACGGACTCGCAAATTAAGCCGAATTAGTCGGCAATAGAAAGTTTCTATTAGAAGGTTCTATAAAGGTTCTATTAGAACCCGTCCGGTATAAACACGCGCTTAAACATGGTTAATATAGGATATGCGGTCGAGCGGGAAAAATGATAAGGTATGCTATAAACTACAGTATAAAGCGGATATAACGAAACTCCGAGTCCTTTGAGTCAAGGGACCCGGAAAACTTTCGTCATATCCGCTTTCGTTATATCCACACTCCACTGTACAGCGAAACTTTTACACAACGTAAAGCGTGTAAAACGAAAGTTTTTTCGTGTAACCTGGGTTTCGTTAGATACGCTTCCTACTGTTTTTGAAAGGTCGTTGCACAACTGACAAAGGAATTTTGTTAAATGTTACATGTACATTACAATGCATTACATGTAATGCATTTTAATAGCTCTTATACCCAAAAATAGACAAACAGAAAAATTGAATGAGGGAAAAATCAATTATGCGACAGAGGAAGCATTAGAACTGATTTTAGGCCACAGGTCAGCGCACTCCTTGGCAACCGGTCCAGTGATGGCAGATCCTTTCATCTCTCCCTTTACATTGACAATGACTCCAGCGTTGTCCTCGAAGTAGATGAACACACCGTCCTTGCGTCTGTAGGGCTTCCTCTGTCTGATCACAACTGCCGGCATGACTTTCTTCCTCAGTTCTGGCTTGCCTTTCTTCACCGTGGCCATCACCATGTCACCGCATCCAGCGGCTGGCAACCTATAGAGGTTCAAAAAAAGACAAAATTAAGGCGTGAGATAGCAAAGAAATCTCTTGAAATCTCGTAAATTTAAGCGTAGACCTTTACTTACTCAGCACAATTAAAGTGAAGGGTGGATAAAACGAACCCAAAATTTGTTCTGAATTTGTGCGTTGATTAATAAACTCGTATTTTTTTTATAAAAACGAGCTGGAACATGGAACAATTGATGAGAATGTAGAAGTGGTACTTTCGGCTCGTTTTACGAGTCAGTTCGTTATAAACAAAACCGTTATATCCACCCTCTACTGTATTTCTTCCAGCACTTATGACACATACCTAGCACGCTCTCGCCATACCTGTTAAGTCTTCCAGTGACTCGCTTCACAGAGATGATGTACAAGTTCTTCGCACCGGTGTTGTCCGCACAGTTGATGACTGCTCCTACCGGGAGACCGAGAGAGATCCTGAACTTACAACCTCCACCTCCCTTTCCTCGTCGCGACATACTCTGAAAAAAACAGTAAAATGAAACGTAATTTTAAAAAAACAACCAATTGGCCGTAGTTTATTCGTTGCAATAACCCGATGCGCAAAATATAAGAAATCAGTCTCACACACAACTTTAAAACTGCCGCACTCGGGTCAGAACTTGGGATTTAGTGTCAGGAAAACTATAACCCAGCAATTTATATAAATCATGTACATGTATTTACTGTTTCGAGCCTGAGTTTTGAGAGAACGTTATGTTCAAAGCTTGTCGAGAACAAGATCAGAAAACTGATTGATCAGATAGTGTTCAATACGAGCTCACAAACCAAACCCGGACCTAATATGCACGAGATTATCGAACTGGATAGAAGCAAACTGGAACAACGCGTAAAATACGATACTTACATGATGAAAGAGTCAGTTATGGTATGTTCACACTAGGATTACCATTGCCTCGGGTTCGGTGTGAGACTAATTATGAATGAGCCTAGTTGAGTCTACTGAAAGAGTCAACTGGTGGACACACAGCTGCAATTTCAGAACAGCTCAGACTTTGTAGATTTGCAAATTCGTTTTAACAAAACTACATGGTCACGAGAAAAGTTCGGAAAATGATAACAGCATATGCATATAACAGTCGACTGCAAAATGTGAATATTGAGTTTCTGGAAGGCACGGTGTTTCAGCAATTGGTTATTCATGTTCATGTTTGAAACAATGTTTACGCATATGGCGTGCACCCATAAAAATGTGAAAAACTCAGAAAAACTTCGTGTGGAGTCCCGACGTGATTCGGCGAACGAGTAACATGAGCTCAGGCGACTAGTTGTGTTTTCCGTGTCTTTATAGGGACGGTTCTCCTACCCAGTGAAGCAATCAAAAAGCATGCAGATCACTCAGTAACCCCGGATTCCGCATCCTATTGACCAGGAAGCTCACTTGATGTTGCGCTAAAACAGAAACTCGTTTCAGTTCGCGGTAGGATACACTAGTTGCTGAGTTTACGCAAAAATTCACTATAGTCAAGCTGTTCAAGAAGCGGTTTTGTGATTGCGTCACTGCTACTATGATAACGCATGTGTCTTCCGGCAGCACTTTTGTCCCTTGCATGGTTACCTCTGGGGATCGCCTCTCATCGACTGGTCTACTCAACGTAGACCAAACTTAGACTGCAATTCACTTCGCACCGCCCCAAAACCTTGAGCTGACAAGTAAAAAGGCCCAAACCATAACCCGTCCTCACTTCACAAGAAGTAGTGATCAAATTTCATGTACTTGGCCGGGATCAAGTGGAGACTCAAAGTACAGTATTAGTCAAATTTCTCTATGCATTAACAGTAATGGGTCTTAGGCTGTATAGTTTATTGCCCAGTTTCAAGCTAGGTTTTATCAGTAGAATGAATTGATGATAAAGAAGGAATGTTAGTGGTATATAAAGCATTGAGACTGGTATTTGAGTTGGTATTAATGAGTTCAAAGAATTGATGTTGTTTTTCTCGGGAGGTGACCTTATATGGTAATCGTCTTCGGTAATTAGTTTCATCGCCCATCGACATCTCGTGGTTAACTCTGACCCCACGGCTTAGCCGAGAGTCGTTGGAGATGATGTTTTGTCTTCATGCGCCCCAGCCCATCTGTGAAGATATCGGCCGGGTTGTCTCCTGTTGCCACGAACTTCAGCTCAATGTTCTTTCATTGAACTTCTTCTCGGATAAACGCCATGCGGGTTGCGTAGTGCTTGGTCTTGGCACTGTTGTCCCCTCTGGTAGATAGGGCCAGACATGCTTGGCTGTCGCTGCTGATAGTAGTCGAGTCATCACAGCCCAGGAGATAGCACCACTTCCCAGAGTAAAGCAGAATCCAGTCACACTTCTTCTGTCATCTTTACAGCTGGCGTAGTCCGCATCAGAGAAGCCTTCCAACCGACGTTGGGCGAACTTGTGGTAGCTGATTCCCACATCTTTAGTTCCCTGAAAAAAGCGCAAAACATGCTTAGCCGCTTGCCAGTTTACCTGGGTTGCACAGAAGTTTTGCGAGTTGGTGGGCAGTGAAGCATAAGTCGGGTCGAGTAGTCAAGGCCAGATAAGAGATTCTCCCCACAATTGTTCGGTAGTCCATGTCTTTCATTTCTTTTTGCTCTAATGACCCATCTTCAGGCATTTGCTCTCTACTCAGTTCAACCATTTCTGCTAGTGGAGTCGAAGCAGCCTGAGGTTTACAGTTTTCCACACTATGCTTTTGAAGAAGGTTGCTCACGTACACCGAGTGATTGAGAGTCACACTCCTTTCATCCACTTTGAATGCTGTCCCCAGAAACCAAATTAGAGGCGAGTCGTCACCAATCGTGAACCTTTTCTGCATCATACCCTTGAACCACGCACGAACCAATTCTTGTCGGTTGAGCAGTAGAGGATATCATCAACCCATATCACGATCCAGCATTTATGCCCATTGCGCTTCAGGATCATTGGGCATTGGTCGTGGACAGACGATTCAAAACCACTCTCACCCAGATACGCCGAAAGTCATTCGAACCAGTTTCTTCCCTATCGCTTCAGACCATAGAGAGATCGTTGAAGCTTGCTTACCAGTTCGTTTCCTTTGTTGTATCCTTCAGGTTGATCCCGATAGATTTCCTCTTCGATGGGAGCGTTCAAGTAGGCTGTCCTCACATCTATCTGGTAGAAGTCCATACCCATTGACGCTCCACATGCAAGCACAGTCCGAATTGTGGTAAGTTTTGCAGTCGCTGAGTACGTCTCGTTGTAGTCCACCCCAGCAGCTTGCGAAAATCGCCTTGCCTCAAATCGCGCTTGGTACTTGCTCACTTCGCCCAGTTAGTTAATCTTGAGTGCGTAATGCTACCACCCCATTGCGATCGGTTGCTTGCCTTTCACACGCTTTACCAACGTCCACACTTTGTTGGAAATGAGGCTTTCGTACTCTCGATCCATTGCTGCTTTCCAGTTGGAGTCTTGCAACGCTTCTTTCGCACTTTCCGCTAGCCCTGTTGGAAGCAACGCATACGAGTGAGGTGCTAAGTTCTCCATCTCTTGTCCCATCACGTAGTCATTGAACCTTTGAGGAGTCTTGCGTTGCCCCTTGTTGCCGCAACCAGCGGCTGGTTGTAGGCATAGGTTGCACAGTTGTTGCTCCCTGACTTGATTCCGTGAAGCCTTTGTTGACATCCACTGAAATCATTTCCTTGCCCCCGCAATCATTGTCACTTGGTGGATCTTTGCATTCTGTCTTGGTTGGCAGCACTTTTGCGTTCCTCGGTTGGTTTTTCGTAGAAGATGTCACTTGGCGTTGTGTGGGAACTGCCCGATCGTTTTGGGAAGTCACTGTCGTTGAACGTCACATCACGAGATGCTCCAATCTTGTCAGGTCCTCGCACAGTTGATCCTTCCAGAGAAGCCACTACGAACGCCTTGCTGTTTTCGGAGTAACCCAGCACATTGCTTCCCGCGCTTTAATCTCCAGTTTCTTCCTGTTTTGATCCAACACAAAAGCTCTCCAACCAAATTGGTGAATATTTGACAAATTTGGTTTAACCCCATTAAACATTTCAAACGGTGTTCTGTTGTGGGCAGAATGGAAGCTACGGTTCTTGACATAGACAGCAGTAGCTAGAGCATGGGGCCATAGTTGTTTAGGGACTCCTGCTGTAGACATCATGCATCGTGCCATGCCTGTCACTGTCACCCAGACCCTCTCGATCTTTCCGTTCTCTTCCGGCGTGTAGGGAGCCGAAAACTCTTGGCGGATCCCATTTCTGACACACAGATTGGAGAATACCTTGGATTTGAATTCCATAGCGTTGTCCGATACCAAAGTGTCTGGTATGCCCACGTCGGCAATGAAGAATTATAATTTCCCCTACCACTTCTTCCTTGGTCTTCTTGGGGTAGATGGCACAAAAACGGCTGAAGCTGTCTATGAATCCCACTGCATACCGATAGCCTTCGTTTGACGTTTGGTGAATTGGCCTCAGTCCCGTCCCCCACCTCTTGGTAGTAGGCACCCGCTTCGCTTTTTCCAATTCACACGTACTGCAGTGTCCAGTATCCCCATCCGCATTGATCACCATCCCTGCACCAATTTTGGGAGTCGAGCCACATCGTTGAAATTGTTGTGTCCAAGTGCCAAGTGTAAATTCGTAAGTGTGCGGCTGGAATGAGACTGTAAAGTGTTGCGCAAAGGGAACACCTGCAAACTATACAGTTCGTCACCCATTGTAAGAGGTAATACAGTCCCATCTGGAAATTTTAAATGAGGAAAAGTTCAAACTTGACCGTACCTCCTTCATCCGTACGTCGCTTGACTGAGATGAGGTTCTTTGCGTAGCTCGGTACCCAGTAAGCATCCCGTAGTTCTAGCTCACACTGCATCCGTTCTTGTTGATGACTCCACATCGTACTGTCCCTTGTCCTCGAGAAAAAAAACCGAGACGAGTTGGCGTTGCCCACATCTGACTTGAAGTTCTCGTCCAGCTCCACAAAGAGCTCCTTGTCCTTGATCATGAACCCATTGCAACCAGAGTCCACTATAAGCTCGCAGCACTGCTCATCAAGGGCATCGAACGATTCTAAACTGAAGAAGCCAGCTGTACGCGCGTTCCCTGAAGCCCCCGCAACATCGATCGACCCTTTCTTCCGTGGCGTTCTGCACTTGCTAGCAAGGTGGCCTTTCGTCCCGCAGTTGAAAGACGTTCTCGTTTCTCGTCCTCGGCACTCTCTCGCCATATGCCCCGTTCTTCCACACTTGAGGCAGGCTACCCTCTTTTTGTCTGTAACATGAAACGCTGCAGTTGATTCCTTACCAGTTGACAGACATCTGGTGCTCTCGAAGTTGATGAGGTCTTGCTTCGTTTTGTCGTAAGGCTTGGGTGCACCGAAATTGAGGACAGTCGATTTGTGATCGTAATCCTTAGATAGACCCTTGAGCACCATCGCCGTGACGAGGGGATGGACACTATCTCTTCAGCATCGTCCAGATCCAGTTTGACGTTCTCGGCTC